CCCCAAAACCCCAAAACCCCAAAACCCCACAAGATAGGATTTCTGCTGGAATTAAAGATAATAAAATTTTGCTATGAAAATACTCTTAATTTATATATTCACACATAAATTTATCAGCGAAAACAACAGTAAAAGCAAAATCCAAACTTATACTTTGCATAATGCTATAGCGAATTCATAATTTAAACATTCTCACTAATCTTACTAATTTTTAGAGCTCTTTTTAAATCGTCTTAGGACCAATCTATATTTTAAAGCAGATAAGCTACAATAGTTGTATGAGACCATCTTACTGCAACATCCAAAATACTTTCCCGCTCTATCTTTTTCTATTTTTCTTCATTAGAAGAAGTTATAATTGAAAGTAAATGAGGATTAGCTCCTTCCTCAATAAAGAATTAGATGACCCTCAGATGACCATTTTTTGCAGCTACATAGAGTGGAGTTTATCCATTTTCATTCTTTTTGTTTACTAAATGATCAGGATCATTAATTGCTCTAATATGCCTCCTAGGGTCATTTAGAATGTCAGTTTTTAGCTACTAAATATCTTTTATTCCACCACTAAATTAATATAAATTATAAGTAAGAGAATTACCTTTCTATTAATTAGAAAAATCAAGATTGATTCCTGAATTCATGAAAAAGCTATCTTTAATCCAGAGTGTCTATTTCTTAGATCATAGGCCTCATTTTTGTGCTTCTTCTGTTTGCTCTAAATTTTGAAATCTCCTAGACAATCTCATTCTACAAAACAGAAGTTAAAAATAATATTATTTCAATTTGATACTTACTGGATCTTCTAGATTCTTAGTATCAGTTCTTTTAATAAGCATTATTGTTCGAATAATATTTGATAGTTTGTTCCAATTTCTGTTACCTCTAGAATTTCTTTATGATTAGGGTTAATCTTTTTGAGACTAATAGGTTAGATTATCTACTACATTGTTTTGACTATGCCAAGAGTGTTTTGGAATTTCAATCAATTTCTTTACATAAGGAGCCTTTTTTAGACTTTAGATGATTGAACTCTACTAAGGTATAGAAATCTTGTTTAATTAATCGCCATTGTTCCTTTGTTGCTCAGATTACTGTTTGATATCAAAGAAATTTGACTGTGAAATTGTGTTAATTCGTTTAACATCACTACTTCCACTTAGTAGATCAGCTCTCTCTGACTTTTCATGACTCTGATGACTAATGCTATGATACATGTTGGAGTCTTTCTCATTATTTTAATGCTGCTTGCTTATTTTTGTATTCTACTTTCTAATGAACAGCTGTCCTATTTGATCGAAGTTCGATTGAGAATTTCCTTAATAAGATTGGGTATCATCATTATTAGTGAGATTGGGCAAGTATAAATGATTGCTATTTTAAGAGCTTTTATCAAGTCTATGCACATTTATCTGAAGCTACTTTTTTCTTTAATTTTTCCTTCCACTTTAAGAAGAAGGCTTTGTAATAAGTAAAATGGGTTATGAATCATTATTAAAATTGTTTTTATTAGCAAATGAAGCAAGTTATTGTGATTCAATCACTTATGAGATTTCACTGTTATCATTAAGAGGTAAATGCGACTGATTGAGCAAATCATCAGCCATAATCTGACTAGAATCGAAAAAGTTATTCTACAGTCTAAATTCATTTTGAAATACTTGCTATAAGGGCTAGTTACTAGTCTGAGAAATTCTAAATTATTAATCTCTGTAAAAATCAGGTGCAATAATATGGACATCTGATTAGTTTACTTGCTACATTAAATATAACTCATGTGTTGGAGCCTTTTCTTGCTTTTAGTTGCTTTTATTTTTTCTTTGTAGCTTACTCTTAACATGAGTACCCTCGATATCTAATTGCTTGTCGCCTTGAAAGTATGGTGAGTTAATTTCTAAATTCTTTGAAATACGCTTTTTGTATGATGGCTTTAATTTTTTTTTATCTAAACTCTTTGGCTTCATTAAATTTCTTTAAGTACTTTCGAGACTCTTATTATCGAGTCTTTCTTACAGGGTATTTTTTATTTCGAAGAAATTAAGTCATTATTCGTAAGGTTTGAAGATGTTATTCATAAGAGTGGGTGACTAAATGTAATCCTCATGCTTGCTCTGAAGAGCGTTTACTGACATTTACTCTCTTCGCATATTGTTATTAAAGAGAGATAATGAGCTATTATCTTCATATGTTTATTATGATCGCCCAACTTTATTAATATTTTTTCTTTTCTTTGAAGTCTGAAGACTAATATGCTGAGAAAAAAGCTTGTTCTTTTATAGTTTACTATCATTTTTGGACTTATGTATAAAGTGTAATTCGGTGAAGTTAGAGTAATCATTATTGAGGGAATGGAAATCTTCCATGATTTTTTAACTAAATTTGATAAATTGAACTAATCTGGATGAGTATAAAATCGAATGATTTAATAATAAAATATAGCATAAAAGAAAATTTTGCATTTTTAAAATTTCTAGCTTTTCTATTACTCCCCTATACTATCACATGGGGTTTTGGGGTTTTGGGG